TGATTTAGTTCTTTGTTTTTAAAAGTTGTAACACAGAGTGTTTGTCTACTAGAATTTTTAATTAGTTCTTTCAATGCAAACGCTGAACAGCTGCTTTGCCTTCTCCTTAAAATCTGATTATTGCAAAGCTGTCAGGTTGCCTTGATTTAGAAATATTTCTTAGAATTGTTCTTCTCTAGATGACTCTTCTGATCTAAAGCCATGTCTTTGCTACCTCTTTTGTATAGAAATACCACCAGTTCTACACCGATTTTGATTTTCTTACCAGATGGGCCTGCTACTCTTTATTTGAGGAGCTCAGTAGGCTGGGCTAGTATCCTTGGGTTCAGAAACAGGTAGAGGATAATTTCGTGTCTGTCAGACCTGTCAAGAGAATAAAGGCATATCCCTGGTCGAGGGAAAATTGCAGCTGAGGAGCTGGAGTGGAAACTTTTGTTGGTTTTGTGTTCAATTTACAGCTTAGAGCGAGGCCCCTTAACTGCCTGACTTCTCTCTCCTAGGAGGTTAAGGCTCTGTTTAAAAATGAAAACTGCCCCAAAGTGATAAGCTGTGAGTTTGCTCACAATAACAACTGGTACGTTACATTCCAGTCAGATACAGATGCGCAACAGGTAAGGCTGCCTTCAACTGCTAATGATATCTCAATTTTGTTATTAATACTTCCTCTGCTCAAGAGAATTGTGTATATGCTTCCTGTAGCTAAAATAAATGTTTATTTACTGACCCGTCTTTTGTTATTTTAAGAGGTGATTGGCGAATTCTAGTTAATAGAGAAAAAAGTTGAGACATTGTAGGGTTATAATTCCCTTGTCTGCCTCTTGCCTCAGTACTCTCTGGCCATAGCTGACATCTAGTATCCTGAACTTGAAGTGTTAATGAATTTAGTTGGGCTAACAGGGAGAAGCACATTGCTACACATTCATGTTAAATCATGTAATATCCATTGAGAAGTACCCTTTGATGAAGATATTCTAATGTTAATCTTTTATATGTGCAGGCATTTAAATACTTAAGGGAAGAAGTGAAAACCTTTCAGGGCAAGCCAGTAATGGTAAGGCTGCTTTATATGATGTTTCGATGTGAATTGAATTATATGTTCTTTCTGTTTGAATGATAGTGTGCATTGGGGGGAACGGACACGACTAAGGAATTAGCAGTGGTTCGTAACACTTGCTCTGTAGGCTATTAACTTAAATGAGGTCATGGATAGCTTTGAAAAATTACAGTTCAGTGGCTGCTGGTTGTTCACAGTGCTGCTTCCCATGAGGTGTGAAATACATTCCTGTTTTGTCTTCCCTTCTTCACTTTCCTCAGAATCTGGGTCTGCAGAACTCAGGAGAGGGACTCTTGCCATCGTGAGTCTCTAGCTAGAGTCAGCTGCTCTACAAATAAGGCTGAAGCAACCTGTTCATAGTGTTGAGAGGAACTGTCAAAATTGGAGTCTGGGCAGTTACTGCTACAGAAAGCAGTATTTATCTTAAACTTGACAGCTTCTCTAGCTAAAGCAGCGTGTGTTCCCTTCCCTTTGGCATACTGTAAGAATGTAATCTGTATTGATTTTTATCAGAGTTTTTATTTGTAAGCAGGAATCAACCTATTTCCTCTTCACATCCCTTCTGTTATAATTTCAGTAGGCAAGAAAGATTTCATGTTCTGCTTCTCCATGTGATGTGGTTTGATATCTTGCAGGCAAGGATAAAAGCCATCAACACATTTTTTGCTAAGAATGGTTACCGGGTAGTGGATTCCAGTGTCTATACGCAGCCAGTTCAAACACAAGCACAGTTTGCCTCACCACTGTTTATGCAGCCTGTATATAGTCCTCAGCAGTACTCTATTTACAGCATTGTGCCTCAGACATGGTCTCCAAATCCTGCACCTTACTTTGAAACACCACTGGTAAGTAACGGCTGATGAAAATGAGGGGAGCCAACCCAAAACATCCGTAATGGTTATTGCTGTTAACAGATAATGATTGGTTAACAAATCAGTAGGGTTAGTGGGCTTTTCAGCTGTAGAATGCACAGGTTTTCTAGTCAGATCCCTCTGTTTTATGATACTTCATGTTATGTCACGGACCTGATAAAGCAAGACTGTCAGAGAGGCTGCATGTCTCACCATCGGCTGCCATTTATTTCAAGAAACTTTGGTGTGAAATTCCATTATCCAGTAGCTAGGAATAGGAGGACCCTGATGCTAAAGTAGATGTGCAGACTGTTAACCTGGTGGGGTTTTCGCTTTAGTAGTTAGTTTACAACATACTAGATTCAGTAGCCTGGTGTAAAAGTACAGACTAGATGAATAACTGCTGAAGCTGATCTCATAAAACTGCAAACGTTTTTCTTTTTAGTTCAGCCATTAAGACTGTTCTGTCTGTTGCAGGCCCCCTTTCCTAACGGTGGATTTGTGAATGGCTTTAATACACCAGGATCATATAAAACAAATGCTGCTTCTTTGAGTATAGGTCGCCCATTCCATAGAAATCGGTAAGATAGTTGTTTGCTCTCTGAGAACTTACAGTGCTGAGATCCTCAAGCGTTCCCTGCACTTGTAAAGTGCAGTGCCTTTTGATGGGACTAGGTTACTTCTTTTGTTCATCAAATATGTATGACATTTTTCAACTTGATTTATAAAATAAAATCAAGATGGCAGCTTAAGATCCTAAATTAATGGACGTATGTGCTGGAGAGAGCAAAGGTAACTCCTTTAACAGCCTCAGAGGAATTTCTGCAGACAAATAAATAACTTCCTCTCAAGGTAATACTTCTAATTATGTTTGTTATACACAGATTATAAACTCCTGCAGCACAAACGTAAGCTTTTTCTGTTGTGTGATTAGTCGTGCAGAGAGCCATTCAGTTTATGCAGCTGAGAGTTGCATGCCCTGACTGCTGTATGCTAAAACTGCTTGATGCTGAGTCTATTACTATAATTTATTTGCTTTATCCCCATCTTTCCTGATAACTGTAAGGACTCAGACATAAACACTGGGGAGGAGGAAACAGCTTTGTATTTGCTGGAACAGTACTCTGTAAATACAATGGAGTAGTAATCTGTTTGTGTGGGTGGAAATTGTTTTATTTGCAAGCTCTTTCACTGTATTCAGCATGCGGGCTGGTAGCATGGGAATTGCTTTTTATATTGTTTGAGAAATCGGTTGACAACTGCCAGCACCGTAAGTGGTTTTGTGATGCAGTTAAGGTTTGTGGCTGTTGGCAGAAGGTGAACTTCAGAATTTGGTCTGCGATGACTCAGCAGAGTCTTAATACAGGCTGTGAAACTGGTAGTATGACTCTACTTGGAAGATGGGGCAGCTGATTCAGTTACAGCTGCTCAGCTCCCAACTAAGATATTTTTATAAAGTCTTTTTTTTTGCCTTTAAATTGTGCCCAAACGTGAGACCTGTAGAACTCTCACATATACAGATCCTCTCAGAAGAATGGATGCCGAAACTGTACAAGAATTGTGTGTACCCACATATTAACATCTTGAAATGCCCACATGTTCACTGCTGCCTTGTAGATCACATCTGCATAATCCTTAAACTTTTAAAACTCTTCTGGTTATGTTAAGACTTCAATTTGTAAAATGTCAGTCATTGTGAAGTTACAGCTTTAGGGTCAAGTGTGTACAGGTTTTGCTGGTCTGTCTTGGTTGTCTTATCTTTCCTGCCAATCTTGCTCAGCCTTTGTGCTAGTACAAAGCTGTGTTTTTGTGATCATAAATCCTCGTATTCTGGCAGCAGACATTAGTTATGCTTCAGCAGAGACTAAGGGGACAGTGAGGCACAGCCTTGAAGGTTTGGCCCAGTGATGATCAAGTATCGCGCTAAGAGAGAACAGGTCCAACAGTCGATCATCTGGGCAGCCTGCGCTTCATGCTTTTTCTTCTTTTTGCTCTCTCGCATCATCTCTCTCTGCTCCCCCCCCCCCCCCCCCCCGCCGCCCCCCTCTCTTTTCGTCTG